ATCTTCACCAGCAGACACCATCTTCACCACCTGACAACAACTGTTCAGGTGAAGCATCCTACACCACCCGACACCACACTACAAGCATCTGACAAACAAAGCATCTGACACCATCTTACACCATCTTCACCACGTGACAACCGATGGCTATATTGGACATAATGGGTAATAAAATTGCTTGATCCATTTTTTTTAGCTGCCGGACATGTAAACACACGCTAGCATGCACACAAAGTCACAAACAAGCCAAAAGCCAAACTATACCTTCATGCAGACGGAGATAACAAAATTTGTGAAGTAAACTATCAACTGAAGCTATCTGGAATAATGAATAAATATACACTTCAGAAATATGTCCATGCGGGAGGCAGGAAGTTTGTCAGCTGCCAGTGTTTATATTATAAAGAAATGTATTAATAAACCGGCAAAATATTGAATATTTTAGTTACTAACGAAGCTTTTCTTCGCCTAATACAGTTTGGAAACGTTGCGTATTTGGAAACTTTACTAGTTTGTGGGCTATACGATCTGGACAACAAAGTTGTCGGTTATTGTCGCTACCGCCAGCTACACGGCCGGAAGAACTTTATACCATATAAAACAACACACCATATTATAGCGTTTGGTGGCCAATTTTACAGAAGAATACTACTTTCAGCAGGTAAGTAACTAGGTCATATTTGTTACAATGGATTATTGATGTTATTCGTATGAAATTAAACCATATGCATTAAATTTCATTGCAACCGGACATAATATCATGCAGTATAGCATTGTCTTGTATTACATGCAATTGTTCAATTTATTTACTCAATGTGACAAGATCTGCAGTCGCAAGGAATATTTGATGGTATTGAAGATGGAAACTGTCGAGTGGAAATTTAAATATATTTATTAGACCTATAACTAGGAACAGAATCGAATAATGCAACTTTAGGTCCCTTATGTGGCCCTGCGATTCGGCGGTGCAGAGCAGGCTAACCAACTGAGCTGCAGAGGCCAGTTGTCGAGCTGTAGTCACAAGGTCATGTACACTATAGGGTACTCAGTATACGGTACTGCCATGTATAGGTTATTCGTAATAATATTTGATAGGTATTGAAGATGTAAATTGTCGAGTGGATATTTGCATACATTAACTAAGATTTATGTAAATATCCATTATGGAACAACTGCATATTTAATTGTTTTCCTTTTCTATCTAGACTTGACTTTCATAAGATGACTAATGTTGGTTTTCTCATTTTATTTGGTCTGAGTTCTGTGTTGTTTCCATGTGAAGGTATAAGACTTTATATTCCCAATTTTATTTTATTTTCTCGCGTTTTTATATCCTACTCTACTCATACTTGACTCGCTTGCGAGACAATCAATTTTTTTTTGTTTCCATACGGCTATGTATTATCTCCTTTAATTATTTAAGGGACTGGTCATAATTTATCAGGGGGGGTGGGGAGGTGTAATTCAAAATTTTAAGGAATGATATTTTGTGACCCTGTTTTTCCATAACCCGGAAAAATAATGCCCCCCCCATCTTATGTGAGAAGAACAAAATGTGAGAAGACATGTATAAAACAATTGATTGAACTAAAACAGCAGATTCCCTCCCCGCCTTTATAAACTGTCTAATATTTTATAAACCCCCCTTTTTCCTGGCTAAAAAATATGTGACCCCCCCACTGTTTCCACCTCCCCACCCCTCCTGCTAAATTATGACCAGTCCCTAAGTTGAACGAGTTGTCTTTCGCCATCCCCATCGGATCCCTTCGTGACAATACATGATTGATGGTCAGACTAGGTTGAGGAAGTTTATCACTTTATAACCGAAAAAATCGGGGTTGTTTACTTGTTTTCAAAAACGGTGTATCATTGTTTCTAAAAGATCGTAGGACTGTGAAATGATAAAGATGGCACTTCTGAATGCACATCACTTACGAAGGAAAGCTACTTGTTAACCTTATAGAAGAGTAATACAATAACTTTGCAAATTTGTTTTTGATTATCGGTTTCAGTTATTTTTTTAACTTCTTCAGCTTCAGTCAAATTTGTCCTGGCCACCTCCCCCAAGGGAGTTACATAGTCTGTAAAAAAACCATGCAAAAGAAATAATCGTTGCAGTGACTTTTAAACAGTAGAGAAAACTTTTTGCTGTGTAGGACAGGTCTATCCACCATCTAATCAGAGCGTGATAGTTGTTTTACCTGGATCAACTGAAATATTAAAGTGGTCATTTGTGGGCAATCCTGCTCGAGCTTCTCTAGCTTGGTATTTCACAAGAAGAGGTAATGGTTCAAAGGTAGAAGAACTTGCTGTAAAATTTCGCACGTATGCCCCTACAATAACTAACAGCAGCTTACCTGGGGTTTCGATAAAATCGCCAGCAACATTGGTTTTAAAGAATGTTGATGAACGTTATAATGGAAAATACCGGTTTAGCGTTCTAGCAGCTGGTGGAGGCGGGGATGCTGAAGTTGATGTTTTTATTGCAGGCAAGTTTTCATGAAGTCTTACGATTTATTTAGAATTCTGGGATAATATATTTTTTATCAGTTTTCCAGTTGCATGGATATGGCCAATTAGCCATTTCCCAAAGTCCTGGGTCTAGTCGCGCGAATCTCATGCTGGAGGGACAAAAAATATGGCAGCACACATTTAAATTAAATGTTTAATGTAAAAAAGAAATATTTCATTTTTGGTCGTCTAAAAAATTGATATTTGACAGTAGATACTTCTACACTTTCACATATTTGAGCCTGTCACCACATATTTTGTCCCTCCAAACGATCCTAGAATGCGCTCTGATCTCTTTTGGGAAAAGGCTAATTCATCAAGGCAACATCCTTAAGGGCTGGTCGATCAGTGTTGGGGTGGGGCTGAAGTATTCAGGAAAGTAGTGGCCCAAAATATCTGACTCATCGCACTTTGTTCGCTCTATGTTGGTCATTATTGAACCCACAGGTTCTTTAATAAATAATTTTAAATAAATAATAAACATTCGGCTTTGTCTGATAACACAAACTTGGAGCTTGATAATTCTGCATGTCTTGCTCAACCTCATTTAATAATTGTTAATTTTTTTAAATAATGATTATGCAAAATGTGGGCCTCAATTGTGATAGCTCACTTCCATTAGCAAAAGTAGTGTACAGGAGAAGTAATTTTGCAGGAATAATTTAATAATTTAGAATTTTAAATTATTGCATCGAAATTATTGCATCTTATTTGGAGCCTTAGATGGGCATTAGCTTGGTGAACCAAATAGCCCTACATCGAACGTGTTCATTACATATGCCCTAGAATTGTTGCCAAGCAAATTTTCCGAGTTTAAGACTCGAAGGAAGTTATCCATCATACCCTGCGCGCTCGATGTTTAAGGTTTAAGATTTTTGAAGGAGAGCATTCGTTGAATATATATATATTAACTACTATTTTTTGCAATGTGGGCAAACATTTTAAATAAAAAAAACTGGAATGAAACTACTGTACGTATATAAGTTTATTTTGTCAAATTTTAGGCTTTACTCTGACTATTTATACAAAATACCTTTTAAACTTTTAACGCAAATGGCTTCATTACATTTCAGAAAAACCAACCGTTACGTTAAGTTGTTCCAGTCCTATCAAGGTTGATGAGGGTGATAATGTCACATGTGTATGTAGAGGTGAAGGTGGAAACCCTCCAGCCAATGTAATTTGGTACAAAGATGGCGTCCTGATTGGTAGAACCGGAAAAGAAGAACAAACATTAACTCTTAGGAATGTTAATGGAACAGACACTGGAACATACAAGTGTGTGGCCCAAAGTCACACTCTAACTGACGAAGAATACATAAAAATAATTGTTTATTGTAAGTAGAGTCAATGGTAACTGTTTAGAACGAAAGGCCATACATGCATGCCATTCATTTCGTTAATACTGTTTTCAAAACGTTTGTGAATATATTACAAATAGTAAAAATATGCATCAAAAAAGCTAATAATATACCCTATATGAATTGAACTCGCTTGACTATATCAATTCTTGCTGTTTGAAAATTTATATAGAATATATAAAGGTAAAGCTTTCAATCTGTAAGCCTGGATGTTCATTCAGTGCTAATAAAAAGTTTATCATTTATCAACATATAAAGAGTTTGTATCTTTACAGACGCTGTTCCACCTAGAGTAATAAGCCTTACATCGACTCCTGAAAATGTCGTACTTGGTGAACCAGTTGTGATAATGTGTGAAGCAACAGCTGTGCCTTTACCAAGTTATACCATAATCCATAACGATACTGAGGTCGTCAGTACTCACAACACACATATTATAACAGTTTTGAAATACAGTGATGCTGGGTCATATAAATGTATTGCCACAAGTATCCTTGGAAATAGTTCAAAGACTTTCAGCTTGTCTATCACAGGTAATCATATACGATCTTTGCTATGATTGCATTACCTTTTAAAAAGTGATATAAACTACATTGCATCAAGCTTAATATGTAACTATAAGCAAATCAGAGAGCGGACTCTTAACAATGTGATTTCATTTTCAGTAACACCAACAACAACTACTCTAACTACAAAGGATTTCGGAACAGGTAAAGTTGTTTTCTTTTCCTAACATGGTTCCAGATAGTATAATATTTGTGTTATGTTTAATTTTTTGGGACGCCCATGCAGTATACGGTACAGAGAACCAGATGGTTTAGGGAATTGGTAAACCCATATATGTGACTGTGTTCTTCTTAATTTTCAGGAAAAGCAGCTTTAGAAAAATGTAATCGTAGTGGAACTGTATGGTATATGGTTGTGGTATTATTGGTGTTTGGGATTATCATTGGAATTCTTCTTTGCTACATTGTCTTGTGTTTCCGTCGTAAATTTAGAAGTAGGAAACCTCAATCAAACCCTGAACCAAAGGCAACTGAAGTTGATACAACTTATCAAGAACTTGATCTTTCAAAAATGAATACAGAAGATAATTATCAATCATTGAGAGTGAATGCTGCAAGTAATTACGAGGATTCAACATATACTGAGTTAAACACAGCCAGAGACGTGGAGAACAACTACCAATCTTTAACTTGAACCTGGAATTTTATTAAAATGTTTAAATGGTTTTGAGTTATCCAACTGACAGACAAGCACGCACAAACAAACCCCGGTACTTTTTTTAGCGAGAAGTTTACCATTTCCAATTAGAATATGTCTTTGTCCGTTGCAACATTCCATTGTGTGCAGAACACTGCAGTTGTTGAACTAACGTGATTTAAATGTTTCCTTCTGTGCTATCCAGGACGCTACTAGCTGTAGGTCTATCTCTTTATATTATAAATTTTCTCATTCCTTACAATTTGTAATTGGATATCTCACCCACCAACTATAATCCTACTTTTTCCTTAAAGAGGAAAAGTAATACTAACTTTCTGGCTGAAAACTATGAACAGGGGCTGCGGGAGTGTGTGTGTGGGCGAGGTCGCCCCCATTTGCCCTTTCGCGCTTGGTTTGGGAAATTGGAACACAATTATAAGTACTAATAGTTGCATGCTCAGCTGGCCATACTATCATTAAATTGCATGCAATGACATGATTTTCACGTAATTGCATGTATCTACCTATTATCAGGCAATATACACATACATGGTTATTTTAATTAAACAATTACTATATTATTGTGGGAAATAGCTGCATGGAAATGCAGGGCTTGTAATTTTCAAAACTGTTTTTTTCCTGAATAAGTTAATGAATTCACCAGTGACTTCAGAAATTGTAATATATCTAACCGCCTTGCACAAAATAATAAGGGCCGATTACATGGACCTGGCTAGTCCGCTTATTATATAATCTCATACAAATTTTGAGTTTCGATTACATAGGAGCCGGGCCATCACGCTTTGCCGGGATCGCGGCAGTCGCAACCGGGCTAGCCGGGCTGAAATTCGCAATGTAATTCGCTTCAGCCCGGCATACCGGGCTGAAAATTGCAAACACACGGTTTTTATTTTGAAAATAAACATGAACTCTTGAATAAACACCAACGATTATTCAAGTATTAAAACTTTTCAATATAATGAGCTTACTTCAGCCCTGTAAACCGGGCTGGCCCGCTATATATACCATATATGTCCAATATAGCCATTGGTTGTCAGGTGGTGAAGATGGTGTAAGATGGTGTCAGATGCTTCACCATCTGACAACCCTTCCCTGTATGTATAACCACACTACACCATCATACACCATCATACACCATCTGACACACTTCGGCCATCGATCATACACCATCTGTACCATCTTCACCATCTGACAACCCTTCCATGTATAACCACCCTACACCGTCATACACCATCTGACAACCATCTGACACGCTTCGACCATCATACACCATCTGACAACCCTCTGACACCCTTCGACCATCATACACCACCATACACCATCTTCACCATCAGACATCAGATGCCTGTATTGGACATTACTCATGCCAGGCACGCCGTAACGACGTGAGGGCATGGAGGGCAGATTTTCGTGGTGGGACATTTTTCGGGTTTATAAATTTCGATCTATACAGGTAGATAAAAAACCATACACTCACAAATTTTGTTTAAAAATCTGTCATATTTGTCAAGATAAGACAGAACATATTTAGGTAAGAAGGTAACACATAACTGTTCACTGAAGAACCAATTCATATAACAATTTACATGTAATTTAACAATTCCATTGAGAATTCTACAGTAACAACATTTAACACATTGTACTATTAAATAAATACAAGTACAAGAAAGACCCAAACGTTAACGGATAACATAAAGCACAAACGGGACACGAAGTCCAGTGTAACGTGCTGGAGGCAGTACTCTGAAAGTTTTACCCTCTGGAAATTACCTGAATGCAACCTATTTTCTGATAAATCTGCCCGAATTTCCCTACCATTTGCCCGAATTTCCATGGTTTTCAAAAAAACTGAGAGTGGGGGGGGGCAGTTGCTCCCTGTCTCGTACGCCTATATTTTGCTGACCGTATAACATTACAATATAAAGCTTGACAATACAAACATCAATTAAAGTAGACTGTTTAAGTTTTATGACATAGACAGTTACGCACTAATGCCCAAGTACATGGCCATATGGCATGTCTATGCACGTTTTCTCGAGCAAGCAAGTTCCTGTAAGTGTGTCTTTAAGGGATCTTTTGGCCGGAGATGGCGGTTGGTGAAGTTGACTGGAGGCAAATGTTTACAAGTGTATTTCCATAGTTTGACAAGGCGGTTGAAGTAGGAAGCTTGGAACATTGTGGATTTGCAGAAAGGGTTTTAAGCATGAGTCTACGGCCATTGAGTCACAAACGAAACAAAGTTAATCACATCGAAGTGTGTACTACTACAAAGACAGGAGTGGTTTGAAAAAATATCAAGTCCTTAATTTCTCTTTCGTATCAGAGGGGAAGTGAGTTTAGGCTTACTAATCGACTAATCGTTGCTTGTACAATTCTTCGCCACGCTTGGATTTCAGTATCCAAACCATTGCTCTTCTCTGGAAACTTTCGACTCTGGAACTTGATTTGATGGTGTGTGGCGACCAGACCTCAGTAGCGTAGTTTAATTAAGCGTTTTTCTTACGTTTGTGTCGGTCAGAGAGGGCAAGTTCGTTTCAATAGCCCAAGCATCTTGTTCGCCTTCGCCAGGGGCGCCGGAAGCAACATGAAGCGGCGGGGGCAGCCATTTAGAAAGGGCACTTACTCTTGAGCCTTAATTTTTTTGGGGGGGGAGGGCAATGTTCGTTAACATTTTTGGTAAAAAAGGCAACCATGAGTTCTGGTAAAAAAGGCAACCTGCTGCCCCCGTGCTGCTCCCGCACTGTTTAGGCAACGGGGGTCGGGGGCAGCTGCCCCCGCTGCCCCCGTGGTTCCGGCGCCCCTGGCCTTCGCAGTAATAGTATACACATGATCACTCCAAATAAGAGTTCCATTGATTAAACACCCAGATCTTTCCCGACATGCACGAGATAATTCCTGCGAATTCATGTAGTAGGCGTATGAACCAACGCCGTTTTTCTTCCTGCAATAGTTACAGTAACACTTTACGCTTTGATGAGCTGAAATCAAGGTTATTAGCACAGCTTGAGCAATCAATATTCGTAAGGGCGTGTTGTAGATTGTCGCAATCACTCACGGATTCTATAGATTTTTAAACCTTAGTGTCTGCGTGGAAGGCTGCTAAAGTTTCGTCTAGTAATATGTCAGGAAGGTCGTTGATGAATATCGCAAAAAGAAGAGGTGCTAGGATACTGTATACTTCCTTGAGGCACACCAGATATTACGCACGCCCAATACGCTCCTCCATCATTAATAACCACTATTTGACAATGACCATGCACTCAGATAATCTGCAAACCGCTCGTACAACTTTCCTGTCAGATCATATTATTGGAGGTTGTCGAGAGATTATCCGATAACGTGCAGAACAGATAGCAGCTGAGTGACGCAAAAATGCAAAAATTATACGAATACGCTAGAATCGCTTGCAGAGCATGCGCTTCCACATGCGATGAGCTCGCGATGTAATTGTAGGTGTTATAATTCTGGAGAAAAAATTAGCAAATCAAAGGGGAAAAGTAAAAGCATAGGCAGCCCAAAAATGCGTGGTATTTTTCACGCGCAAAGCTTTCAAAACTCTTCCAAGCTATATGAGACTACATGAAAATTAAAAAGACAAATACGGTGAAATATCACGCATTGTTAGGGTAAAAGCGAGCTATTTGTGTGGACAGATCGACGATGAAGTGGACCTTTTATTAAGTGTTATTCTGGAGTATAAAGTTGCAAGGACGACGGAAAATGTCGATTGGGACACCTGAGAGTCAAAGTATTCTGACATTTTGGATCTGTTTATAGCACAGTGTCAGTATCCTTCCCCAGAGAGCGCTACACAGCCTGGCAAAGAGTTTACACAGAAATACTTAATATCGAATTACGTCATCGTTTTCAAAACGTTCCGGTTACAGTGCGTCCACACGTATCCGGATTCGTTGCGTTTTCAAAAGTTTGCGGTTTTAATGTGCGTTTTCGTTGGATACGTGTCGACAGAAGGCGTATCCGCAACAAAATGTTTGCGGACACAAACGAATCCGGATACATGTGTCTAACTGCTTGTTCTTTCAATCTTTTTGATGGGCAGGGGTCACATTAGCAGATTTCCACTCAGATGGAATATGACCAGTGTGCAGATAGTGGTTGAATAGTTCACAAACACTGGGTGCAATTTGAAAACTTCATTCTTGCAATAGACGTGATGGAATGCCGTCGGGCAGTGGAATTCTATTGAATAACATGAACTAAAAATTAGGTATTTATGGCATGAAATTTTCATGAACCTCCCTATTACCGCTACCTCTCACTGGCTTACTACGCATCTGATTGGTTAATCGGAATTATTAATTATTTAAAAAATTTCTGGTTTCTGATTAGCTAACAGCCAACTGTGAAATTGTCATATCAACTCAATGTCGCGACATTTCAATTTATTATTTACTGTCGAAGGCTCTGGAATCCAGGGTACGAAAACACGAAACCGGCTACAGCCAATGAACAGCTGAGTTTTATTTTGAAAAATTTGTCCAGTAGCAGGATGCGAGCATCCCGCATAGTCACAGCGAAAAATATCGACAAAACACCGTAAACTTTCGTAAATTTATCAACATTTAAAGCTGTACTTTGACAAAAAAAAGTTACAGACAGGTTAGTAAAATTATCCTTGTTTATATTTATGTTGTTTTTAGGGCTAGTTTCTTTCTGCTTTTTAAAATACGACGGATATATTTTTGCGTGTAGTTCAATCAGTTCAAACTTCAAACCCCTTGCCAACCTTAGGTATACTTTATATTACGTCAGTCTGCCGATAATGCAATCGAGTGGCGATTTAATATAAGCTACATTTCGCAATATATTTCGCTAACTTGTGATTATTTTCGTTAAATTTTATAATTTCACTGCAGTTTTAATTTAAATTCAGTCGTTTAGTGGGCTGCCTATGGCGCCCATCCCTGTTGGAACAGATCAGTTGATATTTTCTAGAAACGAGGAGATTCTAGTTG